TTCTTTTGATTTCTTGATCCAGTTGTGTTAGTTTGCTTGAGAGAGTAGTAATTCTGTTAGGAAAAGTGATATTGAGAAAAATCCTGGGCATAGAGAATATTTGGATAATATTCAATGGTGGCACTCTTGAAGATTTTTCTTCTGAGTGAGTTATTTTCTTTTTTTATGAGTTAGTATTTTTAAAATCAAAATTGTGGTTGAATGTATTTCAATGTATGGCTAGTGCATTAGTTAAGTTGTTTATTATGAGGTCTCTTTTGTGCTCATAGATGCATTTTTTTTTTTAATTTCTGCTTGTTTCTCCAATATATTGGGAAGAACAGTTTTGGCAATTTATTTTATAGATGCCTACTTCAGAAATATTATTGTTATTAGTGTTTGAAGATCTGAGTATATCCATAATGGTTTTAGAAGTATTTGGGATTATTTTAAGATTATTCTGATTGGATAGATTGTTCTGGATAGTGGATGTGACAAAGGTGGTCAGTAGTATTATGCATCTGTTTTTATGTAATTTATTATTGCGGATTGTGTTATTATTTTTCTTTTTCAGTTGTATATTTTGTGTGTTTCTTCTTGCATTGTGGATGAAATGATATGGGTATTGTAAGTTTTTGAATGTGTTTTCTATGTATATTTCTTCTTTAGGTAAATACTGGGGGCTGCAGATTCTTAATGATCTCAGATAGAAACCTATAATAATTCCAGATTTAATTTTAGAAGCGTGGTTTGAGTAGAAACTGATCAGGTCATTTTTGTTTGTAGCTTTTCTGCAAACATCAGAATAGAGTTTGTTACTATTTTTCTGTAACATGATATCTAGGAAGGAAAAAGTGTATTTGGTTTCAGTTTCAAAAGTGAAATCTGTTGTAGGTTCAACATTATCAAGTTGGTTAAAAAGATCTGTTGAATTAGTATTTTGTAGATATATCAATAGTGAGTTGTCTCTGTATCTGAAATAGGAAGAGTTTGGAGAGAGAATGTTTTTGAATGGTTCACTTTGTAGAAAATCTAAAAATAAACAAGCAAGAACACCACTGAGAGGAGATCTCATTGATAAACCAAGTTTTTGTCTGTAAAGTTGGTTATCAAATGTAAAGAAACATTGCTTGGTGATTAGCTGGCATATTTTTATGCTTTTATGTGTAGGTAGAGGTAATTTAATTTTTACTTTTGTTAGGTGTTTTTTAGTAGATTTAAGCATTTCTCTATGGCGAAATTTGTGTAGAGAGATTTTATATCTAAACTAGCCATGTATTTGTTTTTAATGTCTATGTTTTTTAATTTGTTTAGGAAGTCACCTGAATTTTTTTTATGCGTGATGGACTAATAGTGCCAAGAAGTGGGGTTAAAATTCTGCTTAGTTTGGGGGCTAGTTTATGGGGGCACTACCTATCTCTGATATGATAGGTCTCATTGGTATGTTTGGTTTATGTGTTTTTGGTAATTTGTATAATGTGGGTGCTTTTGAATGGTATTCAATAAATTTTATCAAGAAGTCTTCATTTTTTAGTAGCTTTTTGATGTCACTTGTGAATTTTTATGTTTCTTTTATAGCTTTATTTTCCTTTACTTTTTCATAGATGTTCTCTCATATGTTGGTAAATGTGTTTATCCATGATTACGTGTATATATATATATATATATATATATATATAGTCATCCACAGACAAACTGTCTCGCTGTATCACAGCTCTTCAGTGTGGCTAGATGTCCAATTGCTTCAAGCCAGGATCGAAACCTGACCAATTTGACATCAGTCAGAGATCCTACCCCTAGGCTATCATCATATGGCAGAGAGAAAGGGAAATTTTAATGTTTTCTATATGAAATATGCCAGGGGTTCAAACAACTCTATTCATAGTTGAAGAGTAATTCACTAATAGCAATAGGAGCCACTGGTTTTAAAACACCCATTCTCACAAGCACTCAACCGGATTTCCTGGGAGCATATATAAATAAAAAGAAAGAACAGTAAGATATATAATCTGGTGTTCTTATTGATATTTTTTAATTTTTACAAAACAGTGCTCAATGTAAATTTACAGAGCATAAATATTACCAAAATTCATTTGAAGATGAAACAGAACTAATGCTTTTAATTTAATTATATAATTGAATTTGAGATTTTTTGCTTCAGTTTTTGAAACATGGTTATTACTGTGTAGCAGAAAAACCATATTTTAAATCAGTTAATTTTCCTGGGAGTGAAAAAAGGTTAATCCAGCAGGAGTTTAACAGAGACAGACTGCAATGTTTTGTGAATAAAACTCGACATTAGACATAAAGAAATCCTACACTTAGTAATTGAAAATGCTGCAGTTACAGAGTACAGAAGGTCACTCATTGGTGTCTTATTAATGAATAACCCAATAGGAGAGTGTTGGTTTACATATGTGTGGTAAATCCACATCAAAATCAAATCCATGCAACTGAGATCCTCAAGATGTTCAAAATGTTTGGATACAATCCAAACCTCACAAGTATAAAACATTTTAAGAAATAGTTTCCTATGTCTTGTATTTCAGAAACTTGTTGATTCAGTGACTTGTGGATGAATTGTTCTTATTGTTCAACATCTTGTCATTGTTATCAAATTAATGGATAGCGAGGTCCTTCAGTTGTGACACACCTCTCTTTTAGTTATATTCTCATCTGTATAAATAATGATGGCTATCACCAAGAATCATTATGGTTGTTTTAGCATCAATGCAAGGACACAAAATATTGACTGACTGTTGTTGCAATAATAAAAGCATTAATGAGAAAATTGCGTGCAAACTTGAATAATCAGAGAGAAAATGGTCTTTAAGAGTTCTAACCATTTCTTTAGTTTTAATGTCTTTAAGATACATTTCTGATTTTGAGACACTGATAGAGAGAGAGAGACGGAGAGAAAAGCAAAGATTTTTATGTGCCTTAACTAACATAAAAATAACTGCAGCTGCTAGGAAATATTGTTTGGTTCTAATAGGAATATCTTTGAATGCAGACCAAATGTAACTTGATATCCACAGGCATTTGAAGGTAATGGGGCTGGAATTGATTAATTCTCTTAACAATTGGCCGTTTATTGAAAATCAAAACAAAAGGTATAAATCATTTGTTATTTTACCTCTTTTTTTAACTGCTTTATTCAATTTTTTTTTTTTTTTGACACCTATTTTCAACCATCTTAATTTTAAATATCAGTCTGTTCATTTGTTCTAAAATCCATTTTTTTAAACAGTTGATCTTGAAACTGTAATTTTGGATCAGAATATTCTATTGCTCTTGAAGTTCTGACTTTGAGAGAACTTTTTAGAAAATGCTGGATTTCTTTTATCCTAATGCAACCTTTATTTCTTTTTTCTTTTTTTAACACACCTGGCTTTTATCTTGCTATATGAATATCTCTTAGATAACTTTATGCACTGAATTAAATATTAAAGCAGTCAGAACAGTTTATTCTATAGAAACTCTATAACATAATTTATCAACCAGGAGTGACATCAAGTAAGAATATGAAAAGAAAACCAGATTAAACTCTGAACTTTGACAAATGTATTAGCTGTGTTTTCATTTTGATTGTCTTCCACATGGTTAATGACATTTTCTTTTCACTGTTTTTTTTTTAGTGTTTGAAAAATTTCCTATCGTTTTTAGTCATTTCACCTCAAGCAAGGCAATAAAGCCATTAAGATACAAGGAGAAGTAAGAGAATATGAAAAAAGAAAATATTAAGGAGAGACAACAATAAAAGAACAAGAATTAAGGCATTGCATTTAATTATTTGAAGATCAAAGTTGACTAGAAGCAAGTAGCTGAAAGAAAGTTCCTCTAGTGAAAAGTGTGAGAGAAGAAACTGTTAGCATAAAACTTACGGTTACATCTAGCCAATTTAACTATAAGATATGAAACCTTGCGACCAATCTTGTACTGTACTTAAATTCATAAAGTGTAGAATCTAAAGAGGAAAGCTCATCATAATACTTACCATGAAAATATCTGTAGAAAAGGCACAGGGAAGTTACATTATGGTAGTGGGAAAATGACTGATGCTGAGATGCCAAGTCAGAACCAATAACATTGCATGTTATCAAAAATCTCCAAATATGTAGCAGAAGCACAAGACCAGATGTAGCAGAAATATTCTATGCATGAACAAATGTATAAGATAGATTCTGGTGAGAAAAATTGTCTAGCACAACACAGTGAATCAATGTTCCCAGCAGCGGACCTAGCAATTAATTCAATAAAATGTTTGAACGTCATGTCAGCAGAAGATGTTAGCCTGAAAAGATGCAAAGTGTCACTCTCCTGGAGGTTAGTGTCAACCATACTGATGGAAGGTAAAAAAAAGTTCTCTGAAATGATTAAAAGAGAGCAGTTTTATTTTGGAGGTGTTAAAATTAACAAACCATTTCTTGTCCCAGTTAACAACAAACTATAGGTCATTTTTCAGATCAGTTGCCAATTTGACCTTATTGAAATGATCAGACTTACCTTTAAGACAGGAGTAAATAGTTGTGTCATCAGCATAGATACCCAACTGAGAACTGATGACAGCAGGAAGGTCTTTTTATAAACTGCAAATAACATTTCTCAAGAGATTTTACACAAAAATGCATTAATCTCCTTGTTATCTTTAGTAACACCAACAGTTAAGTTTCTTTTATCTCATTCGTTACATACATAAAAAAAATATATGAATATGCATAAGTGAATATTACAAAACCTGACTGAAATTGGAACTCGGCTCTCTGATTTCCAGTTCCAAGCTATTATTCCTCACACAACCCATACATTCGAGATTACACCACTTTGTATTGAGGAGATTCCATGTTGCTTAATTTCAGTGATCAGTGTTTCAATGTGATGTGGCCATAAGCCACTGAGCCATAGAAATACAGTGGCTAAAATTTCTCTCACCCACAATGGATTCATGGATTTTCCTCCTTCCTCCATTAGAATGCCCCTGTGGTGTAGAGAGCCACAGCCTCATCAAGCTAAGTAGTCTTACAGCCACATCAAGTTGAAACACCAGTTCCCATATGATAACTGAAGTTAAGCAGCATCAAGCCTGGTCAGTATGTTGATAGGTGACTACTTGGTAATACCAGGTGCTGTAAGCTTGGATGTGCAGGTGGTGCAATGGATAATGGCTCCGAATTGTGAATCGAAGAGCAGAGTTCCAATTCCTAATGGATTTGCATATACCTTTGAAAATGTATGAATTCATTTCTTCTCCCTTCAGCTATGGATTAATTAGTAAGACTTGTGTCACTAAATCTTTATTATCTGCAAAGGGTTGATAAGCTGTAGAAAATAAATCAATTAATCAATGAAATACTGATTAGCTACACAGGCATGTCTTTTTTTATTTATTTACATTCTCTTGAATATAAATGTGTGGAAACTAATGTTGGCCACAAAATGTGGGATTAGTTTATATACTGTTAGTTATATAAAATTGATCCCTCACTTTATATCCACATTATAATTTCTTGTTTGTTTATCAAATTGTGATGAAGTATGAATCTGTTTCTGTAGCAAATAGTTTTTTTACAGGGTAGATTTGCTAGTCTCATGCTCAACTAGTTTTAATTCAGAGTTTTCCTAGGCTGGTTGCCAACCCAAGGCTAGAGAGTCCAGTTAACCCTACTATTTAACTTAAAGCTGTGGATGAATTCATACTTTTCCTCAGGGTATTTGTGTGAAAGTGAACAAAAGTGAACTCAACATGTCAGTTCCACTTTCCATGCCAAATGTTACGCTACACACATACATACACACACACACACATCTACACAGATTTTAGCCATACAGAATTTAAAAATCAATATTTGAGTAAGCGTAGTCATTTAAATGTTACAATAACTGAACATATAAGATAAATCAATTTTGATGTTAAATTTTATGTAAAATACACTTCTTTCATATAGATTTTTCAAGCACCTGGAAAATATTGAACATTGTATTGTCTGAACATTTGACTAATCATAATATGTGTTTTTAGTGGCTTTATTGCCTTGTTTGGTGTGAAATGACTAAAAATAACAATAAGCAGATTAGACATTGTCAAATCCTGATTTTAATCTCCTTTTCTCTCTCTCTTGTTCCTTCTTAACTGATATAGATAATCTCTTTTTTTACTTTCCCTTTTTCTTATTCACTACCTCTGGCTGATTTGTTTCTTAATTCATAGAACACCAAATCTTAATGAAATAAGAAAATCCTATTTTAGAAATACCCTTTGATAAGTGGATTCACTTTCAGTTTTGCATATCAAAATAAAAAGGCAATCCATTAGTTTTTTGAAAAAATGTTTTGTTTCATTTCCAGCTGTTGTTTTCAAACATTCACAATGTTTTTTTTATTCTAATCATTTCACCCCAAGCAAGGTAATAAAGTCACTAGGATGCAAAAGGTTACTGAATATGACAAAAACTACTATTGAGGAGAGATGACAATAAAAGAATAAGAATTAAGACGACAGAAGATGACGATTGACATTGCATTTAAATTTTTGAATATCAAAGTTGACTGGAAAGTCTAGGTACCATAGCGAAAAGTTCATCAGAACAATTACCATGAAAGTATTTATAGAAAAGGCACAGGAAAGCTACATTATGGCATTGAGAAAGTGGTTGTAGCTGAGATGTCAGGATTTTATCAAAAATCTTTAAATATATAGCAGGAGCACCAGACCAGATGTGGTAGCAATATTCAGAACAAGGACAAATGGTAGGTTTATAAATATCTAAGATCGATTGGCAAGATTGTCTAGCATGACACAATGAACCAACTTTCTTAGCTGCAGACTTAGCAATTTATTCAATATAATCTTTCAACTTTACAACATAAACAGCATTATATAGTAATCCTTATCTAGACATATACGTCTTCTTATATTTGTGTCCTTGCTCTTGAAATCAAGATCCTATAAACTTTTGGTGGGATTAGAACTTGCATCATTTTTGCCTTAAGTTTAGTTAATTCTCAACTACTTTAACCACAAAGCTACAAAAACTTGACAGCTTTGCAGAAGACCCGAGCTAACCTACATGTCATTCCGTTATCTTTTTCAGTACCATATTTGTTTTGTTTTTATTTCTACACTAGTAGAATTAGTAGCACTAGTATTTATATTGATATTAGATGAAGTATTAGTCATTATTAATACTTTTAAGTAGAATTTAATTTTAATTTTTAGTTGCATTTTTCTACTGAGGCCATCAAGATAAAAGTAAATAATAGTTGACAAAAATGCCTCACCATATGATAATAGGTAAGAAAATCATCTAGCAGATCATCACTACTAGTCTAGAGAATTGAATTCTTACAGAACGTCCTGTGCCAAAGTATATTAAAGTTAAGGTTGCTTTACTATGGAGTAATGACACACTCATGTGTAGTAAATGTTGGGTTGCCTTGCCATAGGATATGTCTAACAAGTTTGTCTAACAGACATTTAAACTCATGTAGTAAGTTTAACTGACTGTGGCTTTGTAAAACATTTGGCATCTTCTGGTCTTGGGTGACTATGGAGTTGTACTCTAGACAATGTGTTCAGTGTCCATTGTGTCTTGATAAGAATGGCAGTTTCTCTTTTCCCACGTTTTTGCACGGACCAGATTTGATGCTTTAAGCCAGTGATTCCCAAGGTAGGCGATACCACCAAATGAAAAGATTTGTGGGGGTAGCCTGAGGGCATATCTAAACCATAACATACGGCACACACCCATTGTACCTGCCTTCACTTTACAGTGTATCCCATTTATATAACAATTATTCTAAGATACTCAATTGACATGCAATACTAGCATCAAGAAAATCCAATCAAAGATGTAGTTTACATGGGGGGGGCTGTTATGTTTTTTTTTGTCATGCAAGTGGGTGGCAACCCCCAAAAGTTTGGAAACCACTGCTGTAGGCTTTCCTTTCCTGCCTTTTCACCTTTGATTATTGGACAAATGTCACTTTTAAATTAAAATGGCTATTTTGTACTGCCTGCTTCCAGGATGATCATTCAAAGGCTCCAGACTAAGCTGCTGCTGCTGCGTGTCATATCCCTTCAGGATGTGGCCAATAATGGCTCATGACATCTTTGTTGCTATTAATAAGATCTGTCTTTTCACCAACTTCCCATTCCTTATTCTGCCATCCTCCAGTTTGTCAGGTAACTTACTCACTGTTACCCTATGTCCCTCTTGCCTTCAATGTCCTGTGATTGTCAAATTCTCCAAGCCCTCTTTCCTCAGTATGTGTCCAAGAAATTTCAACTCTTTCTGATTCTAAGTATAACATATTTTTTGTTTTTATTTTCCTTAAAAGTTTTTCATTACTCAAATGTTCCCATCATGGTTTTTCAGCATCCTTTCTTTTGCCTCAAGTCTCTTCTTCATCTGTGAGGAGATTGTCCTGCATTTACTGTCATAGAGGAGAACCAATATTACATAACAGTTCAGCACTCTTTTCTTTGTTTCTAACAAAATTTTCCTCTTTCTGAATCCTTTGCTTAGGTTTTGGAAGGCATCTTTTGCTATTCCAATATGCCTTTGGATTAGTCAATATATAAAAAACACTGGAGGTTTCTGTAGGATAATATTTAATAGAAAGCTTAAGTGCCAGGTAGAGGGTTACTAAATGGGAATGTTGTAAGGATGTATAGAGAGGGAGTAAGGATTGCATATTATGAGAATATATAGGACAGATTATGATTCACCCTCAACTTGAAATGGTTAAAATTTTAGTATTAACAGAAGTATCCCTTCAGGAGTTTACTCCTTACCAATGCAATATGAAGGTAATTAGGATAAGTTTACTTAGTGCAACTATAAGGACAATAATTAATTTTTTAAACATTTCACCCCAAGCAAGGTAATAAAGCTACTAAGACACTAAGTGTGAAAGAATAAGTAAAAGAAAAAACATTCTTCTAAATTAGTTTCCACTGACAGGCCAAAGTAGTTCAGCACTTCATTTGAAACTAGATATCTTGACCATCTATTTTGTATTTACATTATTTACATTGTTCAGACTGTTGTCCTCATCTTTATTGTCATATTCACAACATTTCAGCTGTTGTATGCTCTGGCCTTCTTCAGGATCTGTCTATATTTCTGAGATGAGGTATTGTAACTATTTACAGTGTTCCGACTGTTGTCTTCATCTTCATATTGACAGCGTTTCAGCTGTTGTATGCACTGGCCTTCTTCAGGTGATATATGTTGAAATTTCAAACCGAACTCTTTATTTCATCCACTGGGGTAGATTGTTCTAGTTCCACATGCCATGCCTTTTCTGGATATCCCAGTCTCAGTTATTTCCCTTTAGTAACTCAACTCTCCAAGTTTTTATTCACCTTTGCATATTGAATTCACAACTCTTTAGGTCAAGTCACTGGATTACTTCAACCAACACTTTTTATCCACTGGGTCATTTCTTCTCTATTTTGTATTTAAAAATTGAGCTAACTTTAATTCTTTTCACTTTTCAAAAGATTCAAATAATTATCAGTTAATAGACAACACTATTCTCATATTTCATTAAAGAAAAAGAAGAGAGACATTTTGCAAAGATAAAATCAATACAACCTGCAAAATAAATAAAAAAAAATAATTCAAGCATAATCAGCAAATTAACAAATCTGAAACAAAAACAACCAATTGTGCGAATAATGATTTAATGAATAATTAAACTCTGTCCATTGGTCAAGAGATTAATTATGTAATTAACATCTGTCTCAACAAGTCTCAAGAAAAAGTATGCCACTTTTGAAAATTAATTTTAAAAATTATTAATTTTGACTAGGATTTACTTTCATCTTAATATTTTTAATTGTTTTCTATTACAGCTTAATTCAAATTATGTTGGTTTCAGTCCTGCTAGGAATGATTGCAAAATACTTTCCCCTCCCCAATTTATAGGCAAAAGCACACAAATGCATGCTGGGATTTCCTCCTAGCCAATAAAATAGGCCGGTTCTTGGTTTCCTCTGCCTCAGTCCTGGTCTGTCTTGTCTTGAAGTCTGAACGCAATGTTCACTTATCCAAATTTGCTCTTGTGTGTCAACCCCAATTCTTAGTTTATGAACTTTTTGCCTTATTACTGTTAATTTGCCTTGTATA